AATTAAACCCGAAGCTTTTGTTTAATTTAACCGGAGCTTAAAAAGTACCGGTTGGGTTAGGTTAAGAATTAAAACAAAGGGTGCAAAAAGTAATAGGAATAACCGGAAGCTCGAAAACGGTTACGGCAATATTAATCGGGGTTTAGGTTAAAAAACGGCGCAAAGCTTCCATTCGCTTAGCGTAACAAACCCGATTAGCTTTAACCCGTTTAACGCTTTCGGCAAATGCACGCGCTTTTATCGCTTTAATTGCTTAAGCGTTATTTTAAGCCTTTTTACGGGCAATTTATTGCTTTCGCGCGTTTTTTATATCCCGTTGCTTATCCTTTTCCGCGGGGAATTTACTTTTTTTTTGCTTATCTTTTTTAGCTTGTTGGGTTTTTTTCCTTTTTTTAAACAATGCTTTTTCCGCTTGCTTAATTTTAGCTATTAAAATAGCTATAACCAATTGCAAATCCGCATTATACGCGTATAAAGCAAAGTTAGCAAAAAAGCAATAAATTGGTAAAAAAGCAAAAAGTTACGATTTATTTTTTTTAGGCTTAAGCCCGGTTAAATTTTTTGCGCTTAACGCGCTTTTAAACGGTTGCACGCATTGCTTTATTACCGGCAATACCCATTTTCCAGCCAATTTGTTAATACCGCACAACGCTTTCAAAATATTACGCCGTTGCGCAAAGCACTTACAATTGTTTGCTTTTGCTTTTACAAAAATTTTTATATTAGCAAAGGTTTAAATAATGGGAACGAAAGCGTAAGGATTTACAAATTAATAAAAAAATGGTGGTAAAAAGGAAAAAAAAGGAAAGCCGGAACAAAATGGGAAAAAAAAGGTTTTAATTATTACGCCCATTTTTTTCCGGTAATGGTTAAAGCATTTGTTTTGTTACTTTTTGTGGTTGAAATATTTGTTTCGTTGTTTTTAGCAGTAAAAAGCGCTTGCTTCGTTACTTTTTAAAGCTAATGCGCTTTTACGGTTACCCTTTAAAAGCGGAAAACGCTTGCTTTGTTACTTTTCGAAGCTAATGCGTTTTTACAATTAACCTTTAAAAGCGCGGTAAGCTTTTAAATCCCACGCCATTAATATAGCAACCAATTTCCTTTTGTTTTATTTACAAACAACCCAAAAAGCTTGCTTAAAGGGTATATTACAAAGTAAACAGTATATATTGTTATAAAAAAGCTTTAAGCATAAATATTAAATGCTTAAAACATCGGAAAAGCAATTCCTTTGCTTGGAAGCGTGTAACGCTTTCAAGCGTTAAAAAGGAAGCTTAATAAGCAAAAAGGACAAGGAATTACGTATATATAAAGGGCAAAGGCCCTTACGGGACCCTGCACTTCAAATCCTTTCCTCCTTAAAGCATATTAACCGAAATAGCCTTACACCGTGCTTATCCCTTTTGCTTGCAACAAAATGTTTTTCGTATTCGATATCGCTTTTAATTACTGTTAAATTAAACGTAATGGGTTTAACAATTTTACGTTAATAAATTGCGTTAAAATTTATACGCGGAACGTTTAATTTCGTTAAAATATTTACGTTTAACTTTACAATAACGTTACCGAATTTTTTAATTGTTATAATAAATATTTCGAAAGGGTTACCCCCGCCGATTTTTCGCAAATTGGTAACGGTAACGGTAACGGTAAAAATAATAAAGTAACGAATAATTTTTTTTCGGTAATTAACGGTTTTGCGGTTAAATTTAAAAAAAAAACGATGCGGTTGGTTTTTAGCTTATTAACAAATTTGGTTAAGGTAAAGTTGCGGGTTTAGCCGGGGTTATTGCAACGGTAACGGGGGCGGTAAAGGGGGTATTGGCGGCGCCCGGGGTAACAATTAAAAAAGCAATTGCTATTGCATTTCTTCCCCTTTTCCAAACGCTTTTTCGCAACCCTAACAAATCCAATTTCGGTTTTAAAAATAAAAGCAATAACATAGCCGTTTAAGCGTTATATACCTAACGGTTTGGATTTTTTATATTTAAAATTTTAAAAATAATTTGCGGCAACCCGCCTTTACGGGCGTAAATAAGTTTTTGCTTTTTGGCGTTAAAATAAAAGGTTGCGTTATTTTGCTTGTTAGTATATGGTATTATTAATAATTAATAAAATTGTTGGAAGGTTTTTTTGGACGAAGTTTAATGTGGGTTTGGCTTTTTGAAACCGGGGCGGTTAAGCTTTTTATTTCTTTTCCGAATTTGCCGTTTCGTTGCGGCGTTTAACGTTTTTTTGTTTTTTCCTTTTTTTTTCGCTTTTTTCGCTTATGCATTAATAATATCGCTTAATAAAGCGTAATTAAAAAATTGTTTTATTTTTATAAACCATTTTGTAACGATTGCTGCTTTGTTTGGTTAATTTAGCAAGGATTTGCCGCTTTTTTTATTATTTAAAAAAAAAAAATTTGTTTTTGCAAATTTGGGCAATGTAGCAATACGTATGCTACCGTTTCCGGGTTTTAACCGCATTAATACGTTGCGGCTACGCCAAGGACTTTTTGGAAAGCTAAGTAACCCCGGAACTTTAACTTTTCCGTTTTAGCTAAACCAATAACAAATTTTAGGTTTTATAAAGGTTGCGGTAAAGGTTTAGAATTTTTTTGTTAAATTGCTTTTTGTTAGCTTTAACGCTTTTTTTGGTTGCCGTAACGTGGTTATGCTACTTTTTTTTCCATTTTTCCAATACCGCCATTTCCGGGTTCGATTTTTCGATTTAATTTAACGCTTTTTTCCGTTAACGAAGTAACCGCGTAATTACAACCGTAAGCTTTTGCTTTTTGTTTTTTAATTTTCGCTGTACCTTTTTGCAAGTATTTGCAATTTTTTCCGCTAAACCGCTTTTTTTTAATTTCCTTTCGAAATGGGCAATGCAACCATTTAGCCATATTTAAATTAAGGTTATATGCGTTTTTAATTCCAGCAATTTCTATAAAGTTCCTTTGTAAGCCCCCGTTATTGTTTTTAAACAATTATTTTGCGTTTTTGCTTACGTTTTAACCATTTTTTTGGGCCGCAACGGGGTAGCGTTAAATTTATGGTAAACCGGGGCTGCGTAATTTAATGTTGCTTTAATTACGGTTAAATACAAATATTTGGTTTTAATAAACGTGGGTTTTTATGTTATTATTATTAAGCGCGTAATAAATAGCATTTGGGTTGCTATTTTTTCGCGCATTTTTTTAAATATATTGGGTTCAATTTAATTTGGAATTAATTTAAAAGCTTAATATTTGCATTGCTTTTTTTGTTGTTTTTGGGTTTACCGTAACCTTTTTAAAACGGAAAGGTAACGTTAACGCGGGTTTTTTCCTTTTTGTTAATTAAACCAGCTAGTATTTGGCCGGGTTAAATTTCGTTCCAAATTTTTTTGCCCATTTTAAGCACACGTTGTGGGCGGTTTTAAATTTGTTGGTTGCGTTTGTTACGTTGCGGTTAAAGCTAATTAAATTAATATTATTTGCAAATTCCGTAACCGCAACCCTTTTTACTTCCCGTAATTTTTTGTACAAATTTGCCGTGTAAATAATAAAAAGGATAGGTAATATTAAAAACTTTTGCGGGATTTTGCATAAAATTTTATTTTTTGCCGTATTTTTGCCGTTAAAAAAAAGTATTATTTTCCGATTGCTTAAAAAGCTTTTAAAAAAATCCAAAATTTATTATGGAAATTAATGTTTTTTTATTTCGTCGAAAAAGCGTATATGCAATACGGTATTAAAAGCGTTGCTTATGTTAAATAATAAAAAACCAATTACCGCTTTCGCGTTTTAAACCGTATTTACCATTTTTGTAAGTAATCGTATGGCCGTTTTCGTAAATTTGCATTGTTAATTGCCCATTTATTTATCGGAAAACAATTAATAGCTTTTTGCGGCGTTTTTAATGCAAAACGTTAAAATCTTTTCCAACGCTTTTTTTATCGTTTTTAAAAAGGCAATTGGCTTTTACGCGCCCAAAATATTCGGGTTTTTGTTAAATTTTTGGAAAATAATAATGCTATTGGTAAAAGTTTGGTACTCTTGTTTTAAGGCTCGGAAATTTCCTGGTAAAGGTAAACAACGATTTTAATGATTTGGGGGAAAATCCTATTATTATGCACACCGAGGAAAGAATTTATCTGCCAAAAAAAGGGCACAGGATTGCCCTTTATATGCGCAGGGACGATTACCCAAAGGGTGGTTCCCTGCTTTGCTTAAAGTAAATAAAGTTGGCCCGTACGGAATCCGGAAAATCCCAAAGCCTTTTGTAATAACCTCCTTTTCCGGATCGCACGCGCACCGCAATGCTGTTCCAACAAGTGCGGAATTTCCGGAACTTTTTTAAAAAGTAATTGCGGTCCACGCATGCCGTAAATACTTTTGCTAATGCTTCGAAAAGTGCCGGTTTTATTGCTAGCAATCCCCCGGTAAGGATTTCCGTTGGGCTTGGGGCTTTTTAATATTTTATGCTTTAAAGGGTTTTTTTACGTTTTTTGCGGTAATTTCCTTGCGAACGAGCAAAGGTTAAAAAAGTGGTTTGGGGTATTTGGGGATATCGGTAATATTTACCGTTAATATGGAAAAAAAAATTTTTTTAAGGTTGCTTTTTTCGCTTTTTTTATTGCCGCTACCTTTTTGCTTGGTAATTTTAATAATGGAAGTAACGGGGGGGGAAAAAGTTGGTGGCTTTTGTATTTTGCTTATTTAGCAATGGTTTATATGCTTTTAGCGTTTTATGTAATGCTTGCTTCGTGCATTACGGTACGTTACGTATACCTTTTCGTTATTTTAATAGCGCTTTTCCTTTTTTTAATGGCTTTTTTTATTATTGCGTGGTTGGTTTCCAAACGGTTTGCTTTTTACGTTAATTTGGCCCGGTATTTATTGTAAAATAATTAAAAAAAATTTCGTTTATTAGCTATAGCTTCCAACCTTTCCTTTTAATTTCGGTACGGTTAAATTGCAAATTTCCAATATTGCTTTTGTAATGTCGTTTATTTTTTCGTTAATTGCTTAAAGGTTAATAAATGGTTGTAGCAAAAAGGAAATTTTATCGTTCGTTAAGGATTTAGCAAATTTTTTATTAATCTTTTTTCAATTCCAGCCTTTTAAAATTGGTGCGTAAAAGTTTAAAATGGTTTTTAAAATTGTAATTACCATTTCCGTATGGTTATTGCTACTTTAACGTTATTTTAATAGCTATTGGGTTTTTAACTTTCCGGTAGCCCAAGCTAAATTAATGGTAATGTTTTTGCAATAAAAGGCGAATTTTATTGCCGCGTTTTGGCAAGTTATTAATTGCATGCTTTATAGCTCCGTTAAACCAACCAATTTGGAAGCCCCCGCGTGCATCGGTACGTTTTTTAAGCGCTTTAACATTTATGCTTTATGGTAAAGGTTAAAATTTTTTATTATTAAGCTATTGCTTTTTGGTTTTTTCCCGGCAAATTTATTAATAAGTGTTATTTAATTTATAATGGTTATACTTTCCGGAAATGGGGAATAAACCGATTAAATCGTTATATTTTCGTTTTGGGTACCAATCGTAACTTTGCATTAATTCAATTTTGCTTCGTAATTTAAAATACGTAGCGTTAATTTAATATAAATAATTGCTTTGGTAATAAAAAGAAAAGGGGGAGCAAATTGTAATGGTAAGGAAAAAGGAAGCGCGTTGCTTTTTTTTTAGCGATTTTAAAGGGATTCCGGTAAGTTGCCGTATGGTTGTTACGGGGTAAGGTTATATATATATTAAATTAGCTTCCTTCCGGTTTACAACGGGGATTTAGCGTTCCCTTTTAAATTTTTTGGTAGCTTTTGTATTGCTAATACGTCGAAATTGCTTTTTTTCGCCAATAATGCGTTAAATACTTTCGATTTTTTCGTTACGTTCCATTAAAAAACTTTAAGCATTGGTTTTTTCGTTAAAAAGGTTTTTTTTATTTTTGGGAAAGGCGGTAACGTTAACGCTTTTTTTTGTATAATTGGGTGCTAAAGGATTGTATGTTATTAAATAATTAAAAAAAGTAAGGCTTTTTTAATTGGCCCTTTTTGTTACTTCCTGTAACGGTAAAGGAAACGCGGGTATCGCCGGGAAAATGGGTTTTGTTAAAAGGTTTGCGGGGGGGGTGCGAAGGGGAAAAAGTTTTGGAATGCGTAAGCCCTGGTTTTTTACAAATAGCGTAATAATTGCGTTTTTTCGTTTTGCCGTGTAAAATTTTTTAAACCTTTTTATAAATTGTTCGGCCGATTTTGGGAAATTCCTTTTTCGTTTTGTAAGTAAAGTTAGTTAAAAAAAAAGTAATTTTAACTTTGCGTTAATTTTGCTGCGTGTAAAGGTTTTTTTAATTAGCAAGGTTATGCTTTAAATTGCTATTGGTATTTAAAAAAAAATTATTGCAAAAGGGTTATTGCTTTTTTTTGCTTAATCGGTTCCTTTTTACTCCCGTATAAAAGCTGCTTTTTCCCGGGGTAAAAAGGGAAATCCTGCCCGCCCCGTTTCCGGCGGCAATCCGGTTTGCAACGATTTCGAAATAAAGGTTATCGGGATTTCGTAATGGGTAAACTTTGTAAACCAAACTTTTTTTTTGCATTATTGGGTTTGCTTTCGTACCGGGCAATGCAAAAAGTAAAATGGGTGTTTAGCTTTGTTATACGGAATACAAAATGCTTTAAATATATTTTTCGGCAATTTTTTTGCTGCTTCCTTTTTTTTTACACCGTTTATCGTTATATTCCTTTAATTTACATTACATATACGCCGTAATTTGCTTGCATTGCATGCTTTTATATTTTTAATTTAAATAGCGGTAACATTGCGCCGTGGTTAATTCGGGGTTAAAAGGTTAGCATTGGTATGCTAACTTATTTTATTAAAAATAATCCTTTTATAAATTTATTGCGCTTTTTAAGCTTGCAATTTAAAATAACGCCGTTACTTTTTTTTTGCTACCTTTTTTTTTCCATAACGAAACGGTAACCCGTTCGATATTTTTATGCAAGTTTTTGGCGCTAAATGCTTTTACCAACTTTAATTAATATTTCGCTTTGTTTTTATTGTTAAAAAAAGGTTGGAATTTGCTGGTTAGTAAGCCCGTTATTACTAAAGCTATCGTTAATTTGGTAACTTTTAAACCGTTCGTTTGTTCGGTTATATCCTAAACCGCAAAAAGCGCGTACCACGTTTGTAGCCGGTTTGTTGCGGCGAAATTACCGTGGCTATCCGTAACCTTTTTTATGCTTTCGTTTATATCGTTTGTTCCTGGCCCGGGCCGGCATTTTTTTCCGCTTATTAACGGGTATTAACATTTTGGAAATGCAAACGAACGTTTTTTAACGGGTATTAATAAACCGTTTTAACCTAGCTTTTATTTAATTTTTTATTGCAAATCCGTTTAATTTTTTCGGGTTTCATTTTTTTAATCCTTTTATTTTCGGTAATAGTAAAAATTTTATTATTTATTATAAATACCATTGCTTTTTTATTTTTTATTATTTGGGGTGCTTTGGAAATGGTTTGCGCTTTTGCGGTTACTTAAGCTTAAATTTATTTCCCATTTTTTCCGTTTGCGGCCGCAATTTGCTGCGCTTGGTCCTTTTTTTTAATGTAATTTTAATTTGCTTAAAAAATTAAAAAATCGTTTAAATTGCATTGGGGTTAATCGTTAAAATTGTTAAAATTGCGGTTATTTAGTTAATTGCTTTAACGTATCGAACGAATTTCGTAATAATTTTGGCGGCCGTAGTTTTTTTTTTTTATTAAACGATTAAAAATATTTTTTTGCAAATTGCATTGTTGCAATAATTAATTAGGTTTTTTTCGGGCTTGCGGTTAGTTTTTATCGTAATTGCTATTGGTTTGGGTAATTCCCGTTGCGTATTGCGTGCTTCGATTGGTTAAAGCCAATAGCCTTTTCCATTAACGCCGCAACGGCGCTTTGGGGTATTATTAAGCCCGTTTAGCTTTTAAGCAAATTGGCGTTTCCGGTTTTCGTAATGGTTGTAATTTTTTTGTATGTTGTTGTCGTTGTTGCGCGCAAGCAGAAAACGTCTTTTTTTATAGTTATTTGTATTTGCAAAATTAACTTTTGTTATTAAAAGCAAAGGTATTGCTTTTGGTTCGGGTAATAATGCTGTTATTTAAACGTGGAAGCTTTAAAATCGTTTTTTCGTGCTTTTTTATAATGGTTTCGTTTTAAAGTAAAGGTATTAATTTTTACGCTTTTAATTTATAAGTTAATGCTTATTGCGCGTTGGTTTTAGCCTTTTTTGCTTTTTTTTTATTTAAGCCTTTTACATAGCCATTACCGTAAAAACTTTAATAAGCCAAATGCTGGTTTTTATTCCCAAACTTTTTTTTTATATTTTTATGCAATTAACCCAACCTTTAATCCATATCGAAGTTGTATTAATGCTTATTAACTTTTTTAATGCCCGATTTGGCTATTCCTTTATTATAGCATTTGCTGGATTGTTTAATCCTGCAATCCAGCGGATTTTATCGATTTTTTTATTTTTATAAAATTTTTAAATGCTATTAAATTAATTATTAGCTTTTTTTTTGCTATTTTATTTAATTGGACAAAGCATTAATAAAACGAAAAGCTATCGATATACAAAATAAATTTGAATCGTACGAAATTTAGCCTTTTAAAAATCGTTAAACACGCTTTTTTTATTACGTAACCGGAATTAAACCCAAAAATTATACCGTAAATTTCGCTGGTTAGCATATTCCGTATAACCTTTTTGCATTTAACAAAAATCCAATGCAAAATGTTATTACGCAATTAAAAGCTCGTTTAATGCTTATTCGATTTTTTATTATTTAAAATAAAAATAAACCCGATTTGCAAAAACATATTATTGTTATTTGCGAAAAATTTATTTACAAAAATGTAAAAATTTGCGTTTTCGAATTTAATAAAAACGTTGTTTAAGCTTTTGCTAGCGTTTTCGATTTATTAATTAATCCTTTTATTAAATTTATTAATATTTTTTTGTATCGGGTTTGTTTTTTATGCGGTTAAAGCGTAATTAAAAGCTATTTCGGGCTAGCATATAAAATTAATATACGCTTTACAAGCTTTTTAAAACACGAATTATTGTTTGTAGCTTTTTAAATTAACGTTTACAAATTCCGATTTTTCGCTTTGGTTTTTTTGCTTTAATTTAATTCGGCCCTTTTCGATAATAATTTTTTTACCGTTAAAATCGCTTTATTTTTTTTTGTAAGTATCGAACGTGGTTTTGCTTTAAATTTTGCTTTTTAAAGCGCTTTTTTTTCGAAATCCATAAATTTTTAATTTTTAAAAATTAAAATTTAGCGTATCGTTTATTTGCATTTTTACCATTCCAAAGCTTGTATTGCGCTTTGTAATAAAAAATACAAATTGTAATATAATAATTTGCAATTTAGCTGCTTTTTATAATGCTTTTAATACGTAACGTACTAATGCAATTTTAATTCCGCTAAACCGTATAAAAGCTTAACTATTTAAAATAAAGTATTAAAAGGAAAACGTGGTTGTAATTTTTTAAATAAGCGCAGCAAAACGATCCTTTTAAATTTGGTTGCGCTTTAAATATACGTTTGGGTAATGTTCCGGGTTATTAATAAAATGCTTTGGTTTTAAAGGTTTGGTGCAAGCGCAAAAATTAATCGTTAATTGCAACGCATAATTGTAAAAGCTTGCGTTAAAATCATTTTTTTCGTTGTTATTAATGCTTTAGGCTACGCATTTCGTTTTTTTGTAAAACGCATTAAAGGTTTTTTTTATTTTTAACAAATCGTGCTTTAAAAATTTTGGCATTTAAAAATTAACCTTTACGGATTGTTATAATTATTCCGGCGTTAAATGAAAACGTTATTTCGGTCTAATTGGTTTTTTAAAACGGAAATCTTGGAATTTTAATTAAACTTTTCGCTTTATATTTAATCGATAAACCTATAACCTTTGCTTTTTTGGGTAATAAATACGTTTTGTTATATAATTTAATTTCCAATCGTTTTTTTAGTTTTGGGGATTTGTTGCTTTTTGCGTTTAGCGTTAGCAAATTTAATTAAGCTTATAGTTATGCCGTTATTTTGTTCTTTAGTAATCGTTCGCGTTGTTTTAGCTATTCCGGTTTAAAATAAATAAATGGTTCCGAAATTTTACTTTATTGCTTTTTTAATTCCTTGTTTAGCCGTTTTTTGGTTTAATAATAAAATTTAACAAAAACGCTTTTAAACGTTACTAAACCGTTACCAATTTTAATCGTAACGTTGTTATTTACTACCGTTATTATTTTGTGCGGGCCCGTCCATCCTTTTTTTTCGAAACATTAAAACCTTTATTTTTAAAGCAAAAAAGCTTGGTTTAACGGTGTTAATGTTCGGGCTATTTCGAATATTAACAACATTTGCAACCTTTTTTTTAACAACGGCTTTTTAAAGCTTTGCTAGCTTTTTTAATTGCTTGCGCGCGTTTGGTTATAATTGGTAACGGTAGCAATTTATGGTTTATTTATAGCATAATTCCAAAAACGAATAACGTTAAAACCAATTAATTTAGTTCCGCGGTAATATTTATTGTTTTTACGGCTTTTTAAAGCAATAATTTTGCCGCAACGTTAAAACATTCGGCTTTTATAATTAAATACGCTTTTTATAATATAACGTACGTTTATTCGATTTTTCCAACGAAATAATGGGCTTTAATAAAAACTTGCTTGCAAATAATTCCAAAAAGCTTTGCTTTCGTTTAAAAACCGTTTTTCGAAAAATAAATGCCCGCGTTATAAATAATTACGTTTAAAGGCTTTAAATAAACGTTTATCCAGCAACGTTTTAAAATTTTCCAAAAAAATTTTGCTAATAAATTTTTTAAAATTATTGCAGCATTAAATTTTATGCTTTCGTTAATTACATAAAAAACCGGCTTATTGCCCAAATAAAATACGTTAATAACGATTTCGTAATTAAAATTTTTATTTTTTTTAGCGTAAATTTAAATCGTTGTAATGCATCGCTTTTAATTTAGCATTTATAACACATTTTATTAATTATTTCCAACGCGTTGCAATTTGTATTATAATTTGCCCGTTAAAGGGTTTTATGCAATTATTTAACGGAAAAATGGCTAAATTGCTTATATACGCGCCGTAGCTCGGTTTTTGTTAAAAATAAAAAATTTATAATTTTTTTTTTAGCAATTATCGAAATTTCGTTTATAACGTACGTTAATGCATTAAAAAAAAACCATAAGTAACTAAAGCGTTTAATAATTCGCACGCGCGTTTTATTATGTTTTACGAGCGTCCTTGTGGCGCAGTGGTTCAGCGCCAGGAAGTCCTTTTTGGAGGACGTAAGTTCGAATCCTGCCGGGGATACCGGGTTTTTTGTTTCGCACGTGCAAAAGCGATTTAATTGCCCCAAACCGTTCCAACGTTTTTCCGAATAATTAGTCCTTATAACGAAGCGACCTATAGCAACAAAAAATTTTACCTTTATTAACAAGCTTTATAGCACTTACGTGCAACCTTTTTATAACTTTAACGAAACCATTTGCAACCCGTTAGCGGGGTTTTTTACTTTCGAGCTTTATAACGCACGTGCCAAAGGCACGAGCAAAAAGCCCTTTAAAGCACGTACAGCTTGTGGACGCACAGGTTATAAAGCAAGCGAAAAAATAAGGATTTCGGGTTAAAATAAATTCGATAAGCTATTAAAATAGTAGCGCCGGGGTTGCAGCAAAAGATAAAGGTACCGATAGCAACGAAAGCAATTTCGATAACAAAATTAGCCGATAAAATAATGGTACCAATTAAAAAAAAGGAAAGGACCGTTTTCGAAAGGGCGCGTTTAATTTAAAAAATAAAAGGAATACGCTTTGGTTGGAAAAGGTAAAACCCAATAATTAACGAATAAGCTTTATAATAAAATAAAATATTGCTAATTCGGTCGTTTGGATTTTGCAAATAAGCTTAACTTAATTTGTAATATGCTATTCGGAATTGTAACGCGTAAATTATAACGCGCTTTTTGTATGTACGTTCGTATTTGTGCCTTTTTAATTATTAATGTAATTTTTATGTACAGGAATTTACTTACGAAAACGACGCGAAAGTGCAAAAATTTCGAAAGGAAAGGGTTTTTATCCAGCCTTATGCCAACTAGCTATTGGCTGGGGGCACGGTTTCCTTTTTTATGTATATAGCCCGATTCGAAGAGCTCCCTATGGGCTATACAGCTCGAAAAGGGTAAATAAATTTATATATATATATGTTTTACGAGCTTGTTGCGCGTATTGTTAAGGTATACCCTTAATGCGTTTATATTTTTTAGTAATAGTAAAAATGGTATTGGGCTATTAAAAACGTAAAACGTAATGTTGCTAATAAAGGTTGGTATAATAATTGCACTAATGTTAAATTTGGTATTTTTTGCTTTAAAAGCTACAGGATATTTGGATGCTTTGTAATCGATTTCAAGCTTTTTTATATGTTATTGCAATATTTAAATTTGGTTAATTCCGGTTATTAAATTGGTTGCCGCGCCGGTATTTGGAAAATACCGTGCCATTAAATATTGCTTTTAATGTTGTTTTAAATTAGCATTTTGTAAGTAAAAGCTTGGATTTTAGCTTTTTGTACTTTTTAAGCGTTTTTTGCAAACAATTAATGCTTTTATAATTTATTTATAAAGTACAATGCTATATTTTGTATAAAATAAATTATTATTATTGGTTCCTTTTGGTTGCTTTCGTAATCGCAATTATTAATTGGCTTTTCGTCGTTCTTTTTTAATGCGCTTTTTGTTGGAACAGCATTGCGGTACGCGTGCGATCCGGAAAGGGAAGTTGTTACAAAAAGCTCTGGAATCCTCCGGATCCCGCACGGGCCAACTTTATCTGCTTTAAGCAAAGCAGGGAACCACCCTTTGGGTAATCGTCCTTGCGCATATAAAAAGCAATCCTGTGCCCTTTTTTTAGCAAATAAATTCTTTTTTCGGTATGCACAATAATAAGATTTTCCCCAAATCATTAAAATCGTTATTTACCTTTACCAGGAAATTTTTAAGCTTTAAAATAAAAGTACCAAACTTTTATTAACATTAATTAATATTGTTCGAAAAGCAATACAAAACGGTTAGGTAAAGGATTTAGCGCTAAATTACCCGTTAAAATCTTTTAATTAAAAAAAAAGTTAGCAAAAGATTTAAAAGTAAAGGAATACCTTTCCCCCGTTCGATAGCGTATTTGTTAAACAAATAAATCCCTTTTTTTTTTAGCCCGCGCTGCTTAGCAATTAAATTAAAACCAATTAAAAAAAATTTACGAATTTAAAAAAAAACGTTATGTAATTTCCGAAATGGATTGGATTTCCAATTTTTAAACTTTCGTAAGCTTTTAAATTAAAAAATTACCCAAAGCGAATTTGTTCGTCCATTTACCAAAAAAACGATTACGAACTTTTCCGATAAAGCTTTAACGATTAAACAAGCATTACCGATAAAATATTTGCAGCATAAAAAGCAATTTCCGAAAATAATTTCGATTAAAAAAAACTTATTTTACGGAAAAAATTACAAAGCTATTTAAAAATTTAGGCTTTTTTTAAAATTTTATAAATATTTATAACGAAAAGCTTTTTTAACAAGCAAATTATACTTTAAAAAAAGCATTTTAAACCGTTTCCAACGATCGAATCCAAACTTGGATTTTTAAGTTTATGTTCGAACACCGTTATTATAGCGGTAAACTTTTCCTTTCCGCTTTTTTTAAAAATTTTAACGGTTTAAGCTTGGCACGCTTAAAATACTTTAATAAAAAAGCCTTAAAAGCATTCGTTAAATTTTTAACAAATCGAAAAATTACCGTTTTTGGCAAAGCAAATTTAAAAGGTTCGAAAAGATTGGATTTGCTAATAACCGATACAAATAACGCCCAAAACCTAGCATTTGGAAAAGCAGCAAAACTTTTAACGTTAAATTGCTAAAATAAAAGCAAAGCGCCGGAAATTGCATCCCCATTTGCAAAATTTTTGGCACAAGTTAAAGCCCGCAACGAAAAAACCACCGAAAGGCGGTTAACCAAAATTTTTTAAAGCGAACGAATACGAAAGCTCGAATGCGACAAGCACGAAACCAAAACCTAATTCCAGGATTGGCTTTATTCCCCGGTACTTCGGCAAAAATAACCATTTTTAAATTACCGTTTTTTTAATCCCTTTAAGCAATAAACCAAAAGTTAGCTTTTTACCAAAAAAAACCTATCGATTAAACGGAATCCATTTTTATAACTTAATAATTAAAAGGACCGGCCCCAAATCCTTAAAAAGTATTTTATTATTTAAAATTTAGCAAAAAGCCAAACCTTAATCCCCCAAATAGCTTTTTTAACTTTAATTTCCCGAAAAACTTTTTTAACCTTTGTTTTTTTGCAATATTAACCGGCACCCCAAATAACAAACCAATACCGCATGCTTTTATTATTGGAAACGCCCAATGCATCGTTCGATTCGAATTTGCTAAAAGCATTTTGCAATATGTAAAATAAAGCATATAAATATTTAAAAAAATAATACAACATTTTAAACGATAAAATTTTAAATTTCGCAAATACTTATAAAGCGCTTAGCATTTCCTTTTTGCAATTATACGCAATTTTCCTTATAGCTTTTACAAACCAAACCAAAGCTTATTTTATCCAAATTATCGGTAAAGGTTACTTTTTTAAAAAAATTTACTTTAAGCTTTAAAAGCATTTTAATACGAAAGTTAATAAGCAATAATATTATACGAATTAAAGCTTAATTACATTTTAAACCGTCCGTTTAAAAAGCAAAAACGTAAGCAAAAGCAAAATGGAAATGCTCCAAATCTTTTTGGATAAACTTTAAGCTTGTTAGCAAACCTTTAGCTTTGCTTACCAGCAAAACCATTAATTGGTTACAAGCACCTTTCGTGCAATTTAAAAAGTGCTTTAACTTAAAATAACCCTTTTACGTTTAAAAAAAACGTTTAAAAGCTTGGCTTCCTAATTGCGCAGCACTTTCCAAATGGAAAAAAACGTATTTATATATAACAATTACTTTATTAAACGCAAATTTAAAAAAAACGTTCGAAATAATCGATGGAATAAAAAAAATGCTAGGAAATTACGCTTTTACAATTTTTAAAACCGCAATACAAACAAATGCTGGATTTGCAGCAAACCTAACTGCCGCTTTACCCGGTACTTACTGGAAAAATAACGCAAATTAAAAAAGCGCTAAAAACAAAATCGCCAAAGTAACGGCAATTAAAAAAAAAGGGTTTCCCAATTCTTTTTCGAATACGAAAAAAAAAGCAATAATAAAAATAACGAAATACCCGCGAACGATTTACAAATTTAACGAATAGCAAAATTTAGCAATTAATTAAACAATAAAGGAAAAACGTTTTCGTTACAATTTTTTACCGTTGTTATTGCAAAATATTTCGCTAACAAAGCTTTCCGTTACCGCATTTACGCTTACTTTTAATATCGATTAAATAAAAGCAACAAAAAGCAAATATTAAAGCAATACGTGCTTTTTAACGGAAATAAATGGTGCGGTATTATGCCCGATACAAAAGCCGCAAAAGTTTTAACCGTTAGCTTTACGCAATTCCAAACATTGCAACGCTATTTACCAAATTTCTAAATGGTTATTGGTAAAGCCAAGCATTAAATTCGCTTTGGCTTAAAAAACGCTTTGTATAGCTTAAGCGAAATTATTTTGCAAACCCCCGTTAAATTAATTACTTTTTATATAGTTCCAACGCATACCCTTTTCCTTATATGCTTGGAAAATATGGACAAATTAAAGGTTTATTTTAACAATACGCGTAACAAGCTTGTAACCAAGCAAAGCAAACGCGTATCGATTACTAAATAATTAAATTACTTATGGTTTTTTATCGATAAAATTAGCAATACAACGGCAACCGCTTCGTATTTAACTAATTTTTAAAGCGCAAAAGTGCTTTCTTTAATAAAGGCTAAATTAAAACGTTTGCATAAACGATTTAGCCACTTTTTTGTTAAGCGCTTTTAGCATATGCTTAATTAAGCAAGCTATCGAACAAATCGTAACGCTTTGCAAATAATTAATTGGGTATGCTACCATTGCTAAATTACAAGCTTCGCCCCGCAATGCTTTAAATTTATGCTTAAAAATAACGTTAATTTTAATTACGAAATAATCGTTAACGTTATGCATTTGGATAATAAATAAATGCTTTATGTAATTAATGCAAGCACCGCGTTTAACGCCGCAACTTTTTTTAAAAAAGAATTAGCTAAAAAGATTTGGGAAGCTTTTAAGCGTTATTGGCTTAACATTTACTTTGGCCCGCTTAACGTGGTATTTTACGATGCAAAAACCAATTTTATTGCGAACAAATTCCAAGCGGAAATAAAGCTTTTTGGGATTATTTGTTATTAAATTTTTATAAAAGCTTATTGGTTAATAAGCAAGGTTAAAAGGTATTACGAAGCTTTCCGTTATGCTTACGAAATAATTAAAAGGGAATGCTTTAATATCTACCCAAATTTAGCGCTTTAAAAAGCAATTAAAGCGTTAAACGATATTGCCGGATTTAACGGGCTAGTTTTTACGCTATTCGTTTTTGGTGCTATGCCCCAATTAATTAGCAATTCGGCACTTACGGAAACGCAAATTTAACAAGCGGCAACAATTACCAAAGCCATAACAAAGCTACGCAAGCTTTTTGCTAAACGAAAAATTAACGACGTTTTAAATACGCGCAACGGTTTAAGCATTAAAAAAACGTTGCTTAATTCCTTTATTTTAAAAAGTAAGGTTTTTATATACCGAAAAAAAGGGAATAGCAAAGATTTTTTAAAGTTTTGTTGGTAATAAACAATAAAATTACTATCGATATGCCAAACGGTTTAATAACGTTCCGCAGCATTATTTGCAAGCTTTATTACAAATTGGAAAAGCAATAAATAGCAAATTTAAAAAAGCAACCGGAACTATTTGCATATTTAGCTTTATTTAAATTACGATTTCGAAAACAATTTTGCAAAATTATTAAATACCAAAATTATAATTCGAAAAGCAATAGCAAAGATAATTTTAAAATTAAAAATTCCCCGCCGCCGCTTTCGCGCTAACAAAAAAAACCGCGCAAAGCATTTTAGCCCCCGATACTTCCGGTTATTGCATAATACGATAAACGCTTTAAACGCAACGCCGCGCGGAAAATTACTTTATTAGCTTTTATAAACGCAAAAAAAATAAAATTTATGCATTTAGCGCTTTATTACCGCTAAATTAGCAAAATTACAATTTCCGGCAAACTTTTTAAGCAATTAAACCAAAAAAAAATTGGGAATTTGCTAGTTAATAAAGTAATAAAACCGATTAAAAAATAGCAAATCGATAAATCGGCGAAAATTTTTGGTTTACGAATAATTAAAAAAGTTAAAAAATAAATTTGGCATTTTACGAAAAGTTAAAATTTATGGTGCAAAGGTATAGCAATTGGAAAAAAGCAACGTTGCTTACTTAATTCCTAACAATTATGCAATGCAATTAACGTTTAATTTTCGCGCTTGCACCAAATTTTATAGCTATAAATAACCAATTAATAATTTGGAATATTAACCAAGCATATACTTAAGCCAAAACCGAATTATAAAAAACCGTTTATTTGCGCTTGCCCAAAAAATTGCAGCAATATTACCCATTTGGAACTTTGCTTTGTTTAATTAAACCGCTTTACGGATTGGCCGAAACGGGATTGCATTGGTTTATTACATACCAAAAGCATTACAAAAAACGCTTAAATTGCTTTATTTCCAATTACAATTTTTATTTATTTTTTTTAAAAATTGGCAAAAGCTTTGGAATTATTAATATGCAAACCAACGATACGCTAAATTTGGGCAGTAAAGCTTTTATGGAAAAAAAGGAAATTGCTTTTTTGGAAGCAAATTTTAAAACCAAGCTACGGTTTATTTTAAGCCCGGAAAATGAAAGTTACTTTAACGGTTGCAAAATAACAATTAGCGAAACAATTATTTGCATGCAGCAAAAGGGATAAGCAAATCGGCTCGAACTTGAACTTTACAAAAGCAATAATACCTAGCAACAATACGTGGTTTAACGCGCACGAAAAGCGTATATTAGCTTTATATGCTAGCTGGAAGCCGCATTTAATTGCTTTATAACCGCGCAAACCCAAAACCCCTTTAATACGAACGTTACAAAGTTTAACAAACGCATTTAATAGCAAATTAACAACGCAAATAAAGGCTTAAATTACGTGCAAATGGATTTAATATAAACCAAGTTATACGTATTTGTAAACGGGTTTTTTGCTAATAATAAAAACTTAAATTTACAAATTGGCTTTTTGGTTATTTTTAGCGTTAAATAAAGCATAAAGCAAAAAAATAGCTTTTAAATTATTGGGAATATATTGCATTGGAGCTTTGTTAAATGCAAAAGGGTAATACGCAATGTTTTTGCAAGCGAAATTTACGGCATGGTTAGTAAGTTTAATGCTGGCTACGTTTTAAAAATTACGCTTTTCGCAATTGGCAAAAGGCTAAAATTGCCCCTTTACAAATTAATAATTTGCACAAATAACTTATCGCTTTATTAATGCTTTGTTTAGCTTGAAATAATAACGGAAAAACGCTTTATAATAAATATTATAACTTTTTGCAAATTTTATAAAAGGCGGGAAATTAACAAAATCCGGTGGATTGCAAAAGCAAATACCTTTGCAAATGCTATAACCAAAAATTAACCAAATAAAGCTTTTAAAAATTTCGTTAGCTCCAATATTACAACGGTAAAAGTTAAAAAATGGGTAAAGCAAAATTAAAAGTAAAAAAAAGCTAAAGGTTATTCCAATTAATTTTTATTTTTATTTTTATAACAAGTTATTAACTTTAAAAACGTAGCGCGTAAAGCATGGAACCGTGCTTTT